GTACAAGAGGTTCTAATCCCCTGACAGGAATTTGGAAAGTCCCAGGAACCCCAATTAGCCTAATTGGTCCACGCAGTAGACAATCACTATGGCTATGGTGGGGTGGGGGGGCTGTGCCTGCTCGTTCAGTAGCCAGGAGGACTGTTTTCTGAAGATTCGGGAAGGGAGGAGGGCTTCACAGACAGAAGTGATAGCCACTCTTATGAGGTCTCTGGTTATTTGCACTAGCTATTAGATTATAAGAAAAGTTGCTTACAGATCATGCCTTTTTCCTTCCTGGTTGCTTAATTGGCTTTTTTCCAGTTTTTATTTTAAAGTTTATACAGGTGGTTGCAAACTTTGTTGCAAAAAAGCGTAGCAGCTTCCATTTCTTCCCCCATTTCCCTTCCCCAGTGGCAACTAGTTTCACCTCTCTGCATTGGTTCTTTCGCTTTTATTTCGACCTATCTCAATGGCATTTTTATATTGCTAGGCTTGATTTTTCAGTTTTAGGCATTATCTCTTGATTCCTAGCATGGGAGATAAAATCTTTCACGCACACACACCCACCCTTCCCACCCCACATATTCATCCTTTCTATCCCCCCAAATTCATAATAAATTCTCTCAGACCCTATTGATGAGATCAATATTTAAAATTCACACGTTAAATATTACATGATTAACATTATCTGATCATGACTGTGTGAACAGTATGTCCAACTGAGTCACAGGCACAGCTACTCAACTTTCTGTTCTTCTTCTCTCTTCTTATAAATGTTTCCCATAGACATTCAGTCCCTCATTCTCCACTTGGTCTAATTTGCCTCTAAACAAATACATTCCGACTTATGAGGTCTCTATATCTTCATCTTCCTGAAGAAATATCTGAAGCTTTCTGGCCTACTCCAGCGTGAACGGGACGCCACCTTTGCTGGCACCTAGCTCCCATCCTGGGATACCCCTTCATCATCGCTCCAAGGATCCACTTCCCTTCTTTCCACGTGGGATCCCCGGTTTCCTGTGGAGGTGGCCTTCCTAACGACAATTGGGGAAACTACCTGTAAAGCTGGATAGATGATTACCCTGAATAAAAAAGAATTAACAGCCAGTAAGAGTAAATGAAATCATGGGCCACACTTACCGCCATGAAAATCACCTGTTCCCCGTTGCTGTTTAAAACAGTGGGAAATACTCTTAAATAAAAGTAGGAGCTAGTTTCCCTTAGACAGATACATTTTTCTGAGTTTTCTCTGGCCGATTTTTTTTTTTTTTTTTGAGTTTCCACCCATGGCTAAAGTAAAAACTTAGAAACATTTAGAGGATGACATATAACTCTGTATCTATTTTGCTTTGGCATTCCTATAGTAGCTTGAAACAGTGAAGAGTTAGAATGATATGGCTGTTTCAATATTTTTAAATTTTTTAAGATGGTTACATTTAAATGCTCATGAAATATTCCATCTGGGTAGTCTGTCTCAGCAGCACACATCGTTAAGAGAGTTAACACACAACTCTGAATTTGAGACTTCACCACAATAATTTCAGGTTGGGGTTCCCGGGTGGCTCGGCTGGTTAAGTGTCTGTCCGACTCTTGATTTCAGCTCAGGTCATGATCTTGCAGCTCATGGGTTTGAGCCCCACAACAGGCTCTGTGCTGACAGCATGTAGCCTGCTTGGGATTCTCTGTCTCTCCCTCTATTTCTGCCTCTACCCCCCTGACTTGTTCTCTCTCAAAAATAAAAAAACATTAAAAAACTTTTCAGGTTACCTATACCCCCAAAGTTCATTTTTTTTTGTTACATTTTATAAAATAGTTACAAATAAGGCAGCAATGTGGTTGAAAATAATTTTAGGAGGACCTGTAGTTATGGAAATGTATCAACTTTGGTCATAATTAAAAATAGGTAGAGTGGGTTTCTGCATGGAGCCTGGATCCTACTTAGGACTCTCTTTCTCTCTCTCTCTACCCTTCCCCACTCACACACTCCCCCCCTCTCTAATAATAGATAGATATAGATGTAGATAGATATAGATGATATAGGTATAGAATATAAATAGATAACCACCTCTTCAACAACGTAGAGACAGCATATAGGGCAGAGCATATAATCTATTTCTGAACTTCTGATCACAGCTTTTTAGGATCTTGAGGTATGTGTGCTTATTGTAATATTTGGTACTTTCTATATGCTAACTTGGCCAAATGTTTCTCATGTAAAGAAATAATTTCAGGAAAGATATCCTACAAGTGGTTCTCAAAGTGGGGTTTAGAACAGCATCAGCAAATTCTCCTCTCCATCCACCACTCCACTTCATGACAGAGTGAAGAGCGCAGAGGGGGAGCAATTTGTATTTTTTTTTTTTAAACGTTTATTTATTTTTGGGACAGAGAGAGACAGAGCATGAATGGGGGAGGGGCAGAGAGAGAGGGAGACACGGAATCGGAAACAGGCTCCAGGCTCTGAGCCATCAGCCCAGAGCCTGACGCGGGGCTCGAACTCACGGACCGCGAGATCGTGACCTGGCTGAAGTCGGATGCTTAACCGACTGCGCCACCCAGGCGCCCCGCAATTTGTATTTTAACAAGCCTCTAAATGATTCTGCTACAGACTAAAGTTTGAAAACCATTGTCCTCAGAAACACTGTAAGTTAGGGATCATGCTCCACTGTTAGGAATGGAGAGCTGAGGTCACAGTAGCTCAGAGTATGTATCACCCATAAAAGAAGACGAGATAGGTGGTCTTGGATGGTTCAAATGTTGTATTATTTTTCTCTCCTTGCTACAGAACTTGCATCCGCATGGTTTTAAAATGGCTGCTGAGATTCCAGCTATTACAAACACATTCTAGACAGTAGGAAAAGCAAGGTAGGTGGAGGGAAGGCAAACTAAGTAAGCCATCTTTAAAGTGTATTCTCGGATGCCCCACCAATGACTTTTGCTTTTTCTTATCTGCCATCCCTAGTTGAAAGGGATGGGAAATAACGGTTATGTTGTTGCTCAGAATAAAAAAATATAAACACAAAAAACACAGGAGCCAAGGAGAACGAGTACTAGAAGGAACTGGCACCCTTGAGAGCCATCCTGGAACAGAGTTCATCATCAAAGGCAAAGTTTTGAGAATATTATTCTGAACGAGCACTTCACTAACCATACATTAAAACACCTTCTTTGATCTGTTAGAGGAACAGCTGCCTCCTTGCTTTAGATAAAGGTCTTTTCTACTTTGAAAATCACAATAGTCATTTATCAGAATAAATAAATACAGTTGATTTCTTTAAAAAAAATTTTTTTTAATGTTTATTCTTGAGAGAGAAAGAGAGAGGGTGTGAGCAGGGGTGGGACAGAGAGGGAGGGAGACACAGAATCCGAAGCAAGCTCCAGGCTCTAAGCTGTCAGCACAGAGCCCAACACGGGGCTCAAACTCCTGAACCATGAGATCATGACCTGAGCCGAAGTTGAATGCTCAACCAATTGAGCCACCCAGGCACCCCAAATACAGTTTATTTCACATAGGTTGAGGCTATGTTTGATATATACCAACCAAATGTCCTATGCAATTCTTTGACAGGGTGATTTATAACATATGAAAAGCAATCAGAAAAAAAAATATCCATTCTCTTCAGAACTGTAATTCTTTTTCAGAAAGTAATTCAAGGAAAGGAGAAGCTATATGTATAAAGCACAGCACTGTTATCTATGACAGCAAAGGGAAAAAAAAAAGTAATTTACAATCCAAATGTCCTGTAACAAAGGAAGGGCTGAGTGAATTATGGTATGACCATTAGACAGCCATAAAGATCATGCAGCAGCATGGGAAAGTGGTTGCAAATACATTGGTGGGAAGAGAGACAAAAAGCGTATATGTATATGGATAAGGTAGGAGAGGTATTCCGAGAACTATAATGGTTTTGTCAGGATGTGAGAATTATGAATACAAAGGGTTTCTGTTTAAATTTCCTTTATTCTATAAGGAGCAATGGCAGCAATGACAACAAAAAAAGTAAGATAAATTCACCCAATCACTGACCATAATTTTTCCTCAAATTCTCTTCTGTTTGTCTTCTCCATGATTCAGTGCCAGGGGCTCCCAGGAAGGGCTCTGCTACTCTATCGTGAAGGCTACACCTGAGGCCAGGCGGATAGTCTTCCTGTGGTTTTTACACACCCATACGATTTGACACACTGATTATCTGTCTCCAAAGCAAAGCTCAAGCTGTTCATTACACATCCTCATAGGAATATTTTTCCAGTAGTGAGAATAAATTTGCAATCATCTGCTCTCTCTCCTGCCAGGGTGTCCCCATAATCAGTTTCATGAAACGAGAAGCCAGTTGTCCTAGGTTATATGTAGATTTGTAGACCCCAAAGGGAACAAAAAAATATGGAACTAATTATCTAGGAATCAAGCCTATGGGTCTTTAATATGATGCTGAGTACCCCCATCCCCAACCACTACTGAAAGAAGTCCAAATCCTTCCATGACATTGCTGTGGATTTGTATGGTTGTCCAGGTTGGCAAGACAAAGAATTAACCATAGGTTAAGAGTAGATTTAATTTTTATTATGTAGAAAATTCCCAAAATGGCCTTACTCCTTGAGCTAGATTGTGATTTGTGACAATGACATTTATACTCCTTGCCAGCTAGGGAGGTTGGTGACGGTTACAGCTTTAGAAAGGGTGACAGAGGAAAACTGGCCACTGGGATTTTCAGAGTGGTTGGAAGGCATAGCAATCAGCAACAACAAGTAGTCCTTAGCTTAGTAGGGCTGGGAATGGCATTATCCAGAAGAGAGGGGCAGTTCATCAGGAATAAGCAGCCAACCAAGCCTGAGGGCCGGGTGGAACCACAGTCAAGGGGACTCACACCAAGGCAGGAGTCCTGGTAGAGACAGAAAAAGAGTCTTGATTTTCCGGGAACTGAAGAACCTGAGATGAAGAACCTCAACCTACTGTATTAAAAACTAACTTCCAAGGGCTCCTGGGTGGCTCAGTTGGTTAACCGTTCGACTTCGGCTCAGGTCATGATCTCACGGTTTGTGGGTTTGAGCCCCGCGTCGGGCTCTGTGCTGACCGCTCGGAGCCTGGAGCCTGCTTGGCATTCTGTGTCTCCCTCTCTCTCTGCCCCTCCCCCGCTCATGCTCGGTCTCTCTCTCTCTCTCTCAAAAAGTGAATAAACATTAAAAAAAATTAAAAAAAATAACTAAAATCCATAAAGTCATCAAGCAGGCATGAATACTTGTCTAGATAATTAATCTTGGAGGAGAAGTCAGTCTGCAGGAGAATGAAGACAGAGATCCTGGAAAACAACTCAAGTTTGTGTGCCCATATTTTGTGTATAATCCATACGCTGAATTCTTTTACTCTGAGTGAAATTAACTTGCTCTTCAAATACTGGGCAAGTGTTAAAAACTGAAAGAGTCTTTGTGAGGAGCCAGCATAGGCAGAGAAAGGAAATATAAATTCCAGGGACTTGGGGGCACCTGGGTGGCTAGGCGGTTAAGCGTCTGACTTTGGCTCAGGTCACAATCTTGTGGTTTGTGAGTTAGAGTTCGGCATTGGGCTCTCTGTGGTCAGCACAGATGCTGCTTGAGATCCTCTGTCTCCTCTCTCTGCCCATCTTCCGTTCTCTCTCTCTCAAAAATAAATAAACATTAAAAAAATAAATTCCAGGGATTCGGCTTTTGGAGCACATTTTTATTTTATAATACCAGAGAATTAACATCTACCAGCTGCACAATACCAAAATGCAATACCAATCTATTTAAAACTCACAGAATGGGAAATATGCTTTTCAAAAATGGCAAAAAACAATAACACAAACAGCTGTAACATACACATAGGACATTCACTTTACATTCACAAAGAAGACTGTCTTTTTGTTTTCAGGAAATATGTAAAAAAAATATATATATATGTGTATGTATAATATTCACATTCTGGAAGGCAAGAGAAATCTTCATATTTAACTCTGCAAATTTAAACATTATATATATATATATATATACATATATATATATATATATTTTTTTTTTACTTAGAATAGCCAAAACATTAAAAATAGCAGCAACATTGATCTTTAAATATTATAATGTTAGAGTAGATTATTCACATAATGTAGATATATTTTAGTAGCTCTTTCTAATATCTAATACAACTTACAAACTTCAAGTCCTGGTCTCATTGCCAAACAACTTAGAATCTAGATTCAATAAATACTATGCAAAGAATGATTATAAAACACAGACTGTAGAACATTCTCTAGAGCAGGAAAAATCATACCAAAAGGTTTTAGGGGAGAGTCAGGTCTGAAGGAGGTTTGAAGGCCTATAAGGAAACTGTAGGATTCCCAAGGCAAAAGAGATGACCAGACAAGCCCCCTGAAATGTTGAACTGAATCATGGGAAATGTGTCACTGGGGAAAACAACGTGCTGTCATCTCTTTGTGGTGGCATGTTTCATGTGGATATGGTGTGAAAGTGATTAACAACTGGAAAATTTCCCAATAAACAGGGGATAGAATCATTTGTCACCAAGAGGCAAGACACGGGACAAGGAGATCGAGTTTTCAGACTTTACATTTATTCTGATGACCAAAGCCATAAAAACCAAGCTGTCTGTGAGAACTTGTGTATTTAAGACTAGAAGGTAGGAAAAACATTTCTACCCCTAACCTCCATCCAAGACACGGGATCAATCTGCTAATCATATTGGCTTAAAAAGAACCCCAGATGTGGTGACAGGGGTTTCTTTGTACCTGGATTCATTTACAGAAGTTGCTCCTGCAAATGTGGCTTCTTTTATATTTCAGAGGTTTTCCAGAAAAGGTAAAGGGTTAAGTTTCACAATGGGGTTGGATCTCTGTTTTGCCTTGTAATAAGACTACTCTCTGATATTTATTGTCAATAGTTTGTCTCCATTTTCAAACCAGTTCACATATTTCAGTTGATTCACACACACACACACACACACACACACACACACGTATGAGGAAGCCAGGGTAAGCATCCAAGTGTTCACTTTAAAGATCAGGAAACCTGAGGCTCATAGAAAGTGACTTAGCTTGTCACAGTCACACATGCTAATAAATGGTTAAGTATCTTCTGCAGAACTTAGCTCTGTCCAAGGGTGACTTATTTTTAAGAACAGGGGCTTGGTCACAGTTTTCTGAAGAATGAAGTAATTTGGAGTGGGGGAGGGGAGGAGAGGAAGAAAAATGAGTTCCAGAGAAGAAGAAAGGGAGAATAGTGATCCCGCTTGGCAGTCAGTATCATATGCTTGAAAACAAGCAAAGTGCATTTCACATGGAGAACACAGACATTTTAGAAAATATTTAAATACATAGATTCTGCGGCCGACATTGAAACATAAGATCAGGAAGAAATTTTTACATGAGCTCCATGATTTCCCAAGAGACGTAAAAATATTACAGCCTGTTCTCAGGACTCTGCTCCTGTCCCATTTCAACTCAAGCACAACATAGCTACACTGAGATAGATGTATATTTGATTCGTTGTGGTAGTTTTCTAAGGAGTAGGTTTTACAAAATACCATTAGTGAAAATTCTTGCTATGTCCGTAAGAAAATTAACGTTTTCTCTCTCTGTATCTAAGCTGAGAAGACTTCAGTGAACTTAGAGGTTTTATCATTTTAAGTCTAGATTCTATTTGGATAGTTATTGGAGATGTAAGCAAGAATTTTAAATGACCATAATAGTTGATTTAGAAAGCTGTCATATTTTATACAATCTTTTTGAGAAAATTCAGTGGCTCTTAGCTTAATGGTTCCATAAAACAAAATTATAACAATTCCACTGTAAAAAAAAAACCATACTTTTAATGATAATCTATGAACTAGAAGACTTAGGTTTAACGTTCAGCAGTGTGACATTTAGAACTACTAACCAAGTTCTTATTTTTCATCAATAAATGTGTTTTAAAGAAATAATTGAACTAAAAAAAGGAGACCATTCATGAAATTGTTGTGTACGATGATGCAAAAATCCTGCAAATCCCCTTGTTTCTCTTCAGGCACCACCTGTCCCAATCCCCTCCCCCCCACCCAACCTCCCCAACATTCATACACTATAAATGCCCCACTGACCAAGTCTTATGACTCCGAATTGAAAGAGTGAGGCACTAATAGGTAAATTATGCTTTGGCAAACAAGAAACTGGACTTTCTTTGAGCTTTCCTGAGGTAGTGGTTTCTCCTTCTAATATTCTTTTTTTTTTTTTAATTTTAATTTTTTATTTTTGAGAGAGAGAGCATGAGCAGGGCAGGGGGCAGAGAGACAGGGAGACAGAGGGAGGGAGAGAGAGAATCCCAAGCAGGCTCTGCACTGACAGAGGGGTTCGAACCCATGAACCAACCATGAGATCTTGACCTGAGCCAAAGTCAGACGCTCAACCAACTGAGCTACCCAGGTACCCCTCTCCGGGTAATATTCTAAAGGTTCAGAAAAGTCTAGGGAGCTGAATTAAGAGACAAGAGGAGAGTTGGTCACTACACTTAAACAGTACTCTGAAACTGGTGGTTTAAAAAGTTATGTGATTATCGCACACGCCAACACCTTTTCGGTAGAATCCTGATGGCTATGTGGAAAACTTAAAGTATTAAGTGTGATTAGGGTAAGCCTTGAGGGCATCATATGACTCGATCTCTGATTTAGCTCCATAAGATTACAAGGAAAAACAAACATAAAGATCACCCGACCAAGTGCAGTCTTATTGTCATCAAAGCCTAGGTCATTTTGCCTTATGTGTGGAATTTTGGACACCTCTCCAACTATGAGAAGGTTAAGCTCACGTGGTAGTGGGCATAGTATAGCACACAGTTCCATATTAGCTCCATTTATCAGATAGCTTCTTTCTGTCATGATTTTATCATGATGTGATTATGGGACTTTTAGCCATGAATAACTTTTTTGAAGACAAAGTAATCCATTCTCTCTGCTGTTCTTCAAGCTTTTCTGCCAGGCATTTAATCAAGACAGGGTCCACCTTAGAATCAAATTTATTAGCAAACCAATGTCCATCATTTATAAGCCACCTTAATTCCGCTGCTCCGTAGATACACACACTTCGAAGGTGGGAGCCAGTACAACGGGGATACAAAAGGCCTTCATGATAATTCCATTTGACAAGGCGGGTCTTACTCTGTAAGTCAGACACGTCCTGGGCTGACCTAGAAATCTCCCCAGGTATTCCTGGTACCCGAATTAAGGTAGCCCAAAAATGTTCATCAGGTGAGTACGTATCTTTAGACCAGGCAAAAAAGTCCTTAACGAGGGAGTTGTTGAAAATGTATTTAACAAACGCTCGACTTAAAACAAAATAAGCACTTCCAACAAATATCTCAATGTTATGAGGGGGGGCTTCCTTGGAGATGTTTGTCCTTATTGGTAGCTTCACATATTCATAAGGCACCTGTCTTAGTTCATGGTGGTAAGTGAATCTTTCCATTTTACTGTTAGGGGGTTTTACCGTTTCTAACATATTTGCCCCATTGAGCTTCTTCAGCTCTGACACTAATTCGAAGTTTGACTTCAAAGGAAAATCTTGCCCACACAGATTGATAACATATTTCCACTGAACCGAAGACTTGAGGAGGTCTGACAAGCAATTTAAATCAGCTTGGAGTCTGGAAATGTGGGCATATTGTACTGTCTCTATTTTGGAGGCAATGAAAACATTGGAGAAGCACTTAGCTAAATTGTTCATGGCAACTTTGAAGGTATCAGGTGACTTATAGTCATAATGGATGCAGTAAATATTGTGCTCGTTGTATATAGCATGGATTAGTCTTTCAACCATAATTGCGTCTTTATGAACAACCAAAGAATAGGCTATCGGGAAGCTTCTCTCCTCCCTTGAAACAGGCTTTTGATGGTACCTTCTTAGGGTCTGATAAATGTCACAATCACTGGTTATTGCCACGACATCCTCATCATCCAAGTCGATGATTTCTCTCCTTCTTATTTCCAGACTCTTGCCAATTTCCAAAGGTGCCTGTTCATAGACACCTGAACAGTTAACTTCATACCTGATTTCATTCTTAACATTGGTGTATCTGTTTCTTACAAAAGGTGAGGTACTCAGGGAGTATTCAACCAAGTAAATGCCTCTTTGAGGGAAGAGGAGTCTCCTCACATTTAGAAGCTTCAACAGGGAGAACAGCCATAGAGTTAAAAATAAGACGAAAACTTTCTGCTGTGCTGGGTATTTAAAACAGCATTTGAATGTCTTCATTCTGTAAGAAGGAAAAGGAACAATTCAGGTGGAATAAGAGAAAGACAACTAAGAGGCCATTAGTACAGTTCAATCACCATTCACTGGGTACCTTCCACATGCCAGGCAGAAGGCTGGGCCCAGGGGTAAATAAAACAAGGTTCTCACCCTTACAAGAGGATCCAGAAATCAGGAAGTGAGAACACACAGAATGGTGGTATTTTGTGGTATGCTGTGTTAACTATACCTAAATTCTGAGAGACACTGGTTACCAAATAAAGGCAAATAATGTAAGCGCCTAAAATATAGGTACTATGTAACTTTCACCGTCTGCATTTCTACTTAGAGTATTTGGGGAGAGATTACTCTGGTTTGGGCAGAGGTCTACAGAGTTAGAGGTCATCAAGGGGTCATCAGAGATGCAAATGGCCCACTGAGCCTGAAAGTAACATCCATCTTGATTCTGCCTTCAGATCCTTATTAGATATAGATCTGAAGTCAGACGGGAAGAGCCCAGTGAACCCCACTGCTATAGACTGAATGTTTATGTCCCTCCCCAAATTCATAGGTTGAAAGCTAAGCCCCAGGGTAATGACATTAGGAGGCGGGGCTTTGGGAGGTAATTAGAACACGAGGGTGGGTCCCTCATTAATGGATTAGTGCCCTTATAAGAAGAGACCCCCTCCCTTATCCCCTCTGCCACCTGAGGTATGGATTAATTACATCCATACTATGTGAAAAAGCTGGAGACAAAACTGCATGTGCCCATGTGGAACAATTTCCAGGATATACTGTGAAATGGAAATAAGCGAAATGCATAACTGTGTTTAGTGCACTCACGTGTGTGTCAAAAAAAAAAAAAAAAAGATGATACAAACCGTATCTACAGAAAAAGAGCACACGTTGGCAAACTTTTCTTTCCCTGTCACAAGTATTCGACTCTGCCACTGGAGCGGGAAAGCAGCCACAGATAACGCACCAATGAGAGGGCATGGTTGTGTTCTAATAAAACTTTATTTATGAAAAGGCAGCTGGCTGGCTATTTCCTGAAGGATACTATGGAGACTCGACATGGGGAATGGGTGCTGCTTTCCAGGGTGGGGTGGGAGAGGGTGGAGGGTTAGGGGCCCGGGTAGGAGGGAGATGTACTTATCCGTGAATATCCTTTTGTATTTGAATTTTAAAAAATGATTATACCACTTTTTTTTTTTTTTCAGATAAAAACAGGCTAATCAAGTGAGGGCACAGATGAGTTTATTTTGGGAGCAGCAGGAAGGGGGGAACCAGAAAGTGCTATTGCAAGGCTTGAGGACAGGAGGACCAGCTGAGTTCACAGAGCTGCTTCAAAGAGGTTCAAATCCTGAGAACTGGGAGGTCTGAGGGCCCCAAGTGCAATTTCCTAACACATCTCAATAAATCTTAGATGAGGACATAATCTTGTTCCCAAGTGTCTTAGAATTAACAAGCAATCTGAACCTCATTTATTTTTGTAGTTCAGATGAATTGAACTAGCTCTCCTGGGAAGGTCATGCCCTCACTCACTTTGTTTGAATCACTCTCGTTACAGAACAACGCCTTATGGACAACAGACTGTCCTGCAGAACCTGGTCCTCCCCAGACACCTCGCAACCTCTCCTCGGGTTTCCCCAGCGCCCTACTTCAGCTCACTGCTCTTCTCGTGCACACTCTCCCTAGCCCTCTGGATGCTGATGTCCACACACACATTGCCAACACCTTTATCTCCAGTCCTCACCTGCTGCCCAAGCTTCTGACATGAACATCCAGTTGCTTGACGGACATCTCCACATCTCCACTAGATATCCCACAGGCACCCAGCTGAGTCCAAAACTGAATCTGACATCTTCACCTCGCCTGTGTTCTCTGTGTCAGTTTATGGTGACACCACCCATTCAATGACCCAGGCTTGAAACTGGAGGGTCATATGACTCTTTCCTTTCCCTCACGTCCACATTAACAAGCCATCCCATAAATACGCCCAATTCCATCCCTTCTTCTCCTTTCTCATTAGCTGAATCAGCACCCAGGTCACAGAATCCCCGTTAGGCTCATGGCTCTGGGTCCCTTTGTTAGGTCTCAGGCTTCTCCTCTGAAGCAAAACGAGTAGGGTTCTATCCATACCAGCTCAAAGCCAACGTTCCTGCCAGTTCTTACAGAGCATGGGAAAACTGACTCCCCATGCACAGGGCAACAAGTTTCTTCAGAAGTTGGAGCACATGTTTAGAAGCAGGTGTTGTGATAAAGTTTGATTCATAAGATTCATCAATCCCAAATCAATCTATCTCATCATGGTCCTAGTTCATGGCAATTACTCATACATAGGAAGGAGCGTACATAAATGGCTAGAATTAGAATGAATCTTACCCAAAGTAAAATTTTGCTTTGTCTTTTCCGGTCCACGGGATCCCTACTTAGCATCAGTTAATAGTTCCCCCTGATACCATAGTGGTAAAATGAAAAAAATCTCCTTACATTTCTAAAGAGGTCTGCAAAGTCTTCCAGAGTTATCATGGCATTTAAGATGTACCATTTAACTATCATCTTCACACTTACATAAAAAGGCAAAGGCTGGCTCCCTGTCCTGTCACCCGTTTTCAAGGGCTCCTCTGTACCCACACTTCCCCTGTCCTTCCTGAGAACACCTGGAGCACACACTTCCTGATTCCAGCCTGGTGCCTAGTCGGTTCGATTTGGGCTAGCGGGCGTGGCTGCCTGCCCACAGAGGGCAGGTGGCAGGGCATGTGTGGAAGGGAGACATGGTAGGCTTGCTGTGAGAAGTCCTGTGGGAACTGGTTCTGGTTCCACGTCTGAGCTTCGCCAGCCGGGACGAGAGTTAATTTTAAAGGAACGAGGGGAGGGAAGTGGGACAGCCCAGGCATCTGGCTGTCTGATTCTCCTTTCCTCCTCTGGGCATCTTTAAGGAGGAGAGCTCATATGTCTACGGGTCAGCCCTAGATGTCAAGGGATCTGAGCAGCCCTCCAATACCACCTTGTCCCAGGTCAAAGTAAAACCCCTCCCCTTGCTTACCATGGCCAGAAATTCCTTTGACTGAAAGGAGATGTGGTATAGACATACGATGGAATACTGCTCGGCGATCAAAAAGAATGAAATCTTGCCATTTGCAACAAGGTGGATGGCGCTAGAGTGTATTATGCTAAGTGAAATTAGTCAGAGAAAGATAAATACCACATGATTTCACTCATATGCGGAATTTAGGAAACAAAACAGATGAGAAAGAGAAGGAAAAATAAGATAAGAACAGAGAGGGATGCAAACTATAAGAGGCTCTTGAGGACAGAGAACAAACCGAGGGTTGCTGTAGGGCTGTTGGGTGGGGGGGATGGGCTAAATGGGTGATGGGCATTAAGGAGGGCACTTGTTACGATGAGCACCGGGTGTTATATGGAAGCGATGAATCACTAAATTCTACTCCCGAAACCAATACCACACTCTATGTTAACCAACTGGAATTTAAATAAAATCTTGGAAGAAAAAAAAAAATGCATTCCTTTCCCCACGTGAGAAGTCCGAAAGGGGGAAGTGAATAAGCTTCTGTCAAATCCTGAAAAGGGCTGTGGGCCTCTTCCCAGCTTTGGTGAGAAGTCAGCAGGACATCCGTGGGCACAAAAGCCTGCAGGAGGTTAGAGACCACAGTTTCCAACCGTGGCTCTGCTGTTTCCTGGACAGAACCTGTGTGTGACATCCACGGTCAGGAGCTGCGGAGGGCAGAGGCGGGCAAGGGGTGGGGGTGGCAGGCACCTGCCCGTTGTGGCGCTTCCTCCCCTCCCTGCCAGGGGCAGCCCAAACTCACGAGTCCCCATGAGCCTCAGGTTTGGAGGATGGAAACGAGCTCCTGATGGCTCACGAGAGCTGGCGGGTGCCAGACTGCCAGTTCTACCGGCCATATGGTTCCTAGGAGACTAGGGCAGCAAGGCCACCTTCTGCAAACACCCCACCCTGGCTCCTTCCCTGTTACAGGCCCTGAGCAGGAAGCAGGCTGGGGTTTTGCTGCCAGGAAGTGGTCTTACAATTACAATACAAATGAGCGCCCACCCACCTGCCCAGGCAAATAAGGAAGCCCGGCCCGCTGCCAAGTTCACTGCCACATAGGTACGAGTTCCTAGCGATGAAGACAGGGCTGGAAAGGACATGATATCGCTGTAGCGAAGTGGAAACAAGCTGTTTGGATAATTCAATAAAAGCCCAACAAAGATGCTGAATGAAGCCTTTCCCCCAAACCATCTTCTATTCCCAGTCCTTCCAGGGGCTGATTACAGTCTTAAAAGAAACAGCAGGCACACACAAAGTGAACTCAGCTAAGTGGTTGGAACTGTAGTCAGAGCTAAGCGGCCACAGCCATTAGCAGCTCGTCCACGGACTCTCCTTAAGTCAGCAGTTGCAAAACCCAGGACTGTCCAAGAGGGGGGCACTTGGGAGAGAAGAAAAAGTATGCGGGCTTCACGATGCCCCAGAGCCGGGCTTGAATCCCTGGAGGGACGCTGAATCCAACGAATTCACCTCTGAAGCCCAGTTTTCTTATCTCAAAACGGGAACGACAAATCCCCTCCTGAATTGCGGGGAGCAGCTGCGAGGGGTCAGGAGACCCGGCATGTGAACGGGGTCACCCCGCAGAGGTGTGCAGCTTGCCTGACTCCAAACCTTTTCCTAGTTTTCTAGGTTTTCTAGTACGTTACACAGAATGCGCGGAAATGCAGACAGTGTTGACCTTCTCTTTTCTGGCCAAAGTAGGAGGTGGAAACATCGTAAGGGAGCAGCCGACAGCTAAGCCCTTGCTCAGGGGCTGAGCTGGAAAAAGCAGAAGCCACGGAGGGTCCTGCGATACACGTTTCACCCTCCGGCCACACAGCCAGGACTTCAGCTCAGAGGAGACCCTCTTTCAGCTCAGGAACAGCCTACCGACCGCCTGGACCCTGGACAAGTTGCTCAATGTCTCCACATCTCTGTGTCCACATCAGTAGAAGTACATTAATACTAGCAACTACCTGTGGGATTTTGAGGTAAGTGGGGTAACGCATGCAAAGCCCTTTAACACAGTCCTGACGGTGACTTGGCCAATGCGGGCTGTGGCTTCATCTTCATCAACATCTTCACCTGGCCTAAGCTACCCTCCTCCTCCTGACTTCTTTAAAGATCCTGCCCAAGACCTATGGCTTACTGTCCTATTTTTTCAAATCTATTTTCTATTTCCCCCCAAAGTTCTGACACAAATGCAATGTTTTAGAATTAATACCTGAATGCCTCCATGTAGTGCCCCTTACTAATTTTATACCATCATTATTATTAATGAAGAGTCACCGAACAAAGAGGTGTTACCTGGGGCCATGTTCTGAGCCCTCTGCACGTACGCAATCCCCTCACTGGGTCAGTGAGGTAGGGACTACTTTTATGGTTCTTTACAAGACAGGAGACTGAAACATGTGGTAATTAAGAAAGTCCCCCAAGGTGAGCTAGGATCCCCATCACGTGGAACTTGAACCCAGAGACTCTTGCTCCAGAGAGGTACTCTTAACCTTCTAGGTAATACCGTCTTTTACAACATAAAGGTTTCCACAATGGTTTTAGTCTTTGACTGAAATTTCTCATTACTATGTCTTACTGATCCGTCCTAAAACTGAAACAGGGATGAACATAAAATCGCCAAGTCCTGAGACCTTCCGCCCAGTTTAAGGGATTATATACCTGGAGAATCAGCCTGCAAGGACACTGGGGGAGGAGCTCATTCTATTCCTGCAGGCAGAGGCAGCGGCAAGCCAGGTGCTACTGATGAGAGTAGTCAGTCTTCCAGCCATGGAATCCATCGAAGGAAAAGAAAGCCAGCTCATCCTACGGAACTCTGACGGCAGTTATTCTTGTCTCATATCCCGTCACTGACTACTTACTGATTTACTTGTTCTCGTAGTGACCAGTCAGTCACTGAGCGTTCAGGCTCTCTGAGAATTAGTACCTAGTTTAAAAAGCTTTCTCTCCACATGAAGAATATTCCCTCTGTGGGCCACCTTCGAATTCTTAAACATAATATCCATACATGTTAGTATGAAAAATAGGATTTGAAGACTTTATTGATTTAGAAATATCAGGATTTTGTTTCTTCCTAAAGTTTTCCAAAGAAGAATTGTCACTTAAGTACACTGATATAAAGATGAATTCATTAAAAAAAGAAAAAAAAAAGTCCTGATGTAGTTGAATAAGCTAAGGTCCTTCTACCGCAGCTCCTTGATTTCAGTAAGGTCATTGATTCTCCCCTTGATGACAGGCTCATCACCAAACCGAGAGAAAGTTTTCAAGTAAGACCATTCGTGGGAGGATGACTCAGCCGGGATGCATTTCCTCAACACCCCCACAGCACCCTACGAGTTCCTAAAGAAGCAGAAAGGCCACAACTTCTTACTCAACATGTCTCCAGAGGCAAGGGAAACAAAAGCAAAAATTAACTACTGAGACCTCATCAGAATCAAAAGCTTCTGTACAGCAAAGGAAACAATCAGCAAAACGAAAAGGCAACTGACAGAATGGGGGAAGATGTTTGCAAATGACATATCAGATAAAGGGTTAGTATCCAAAATCTATAAAGAATTTATCAAACATAACACCCAAAAAACAAATAATCCAGGGAAGAAATGGGCAAAAGACATGAACAGACAGTTAGTTCTCCAAAGAAGACATCCAGATGGCCAACCGACACATGAAAAAATGCTCAACATCACTCATCATCAGGGAAATACAAATTAAAGCCACAATGAGAGACTACCTCACACCAGTCAGAATGGCTAAAATAAACAACTCAGGCAACAACAGATGTTGGTGGGGATGTGGAGAAAGAGGATCTCTTTTGCATTGTTGGTGGCAATGCAAGCTGGTGCAGCCACTCTGGAAAACAGCATGGAGGTTCCTCAAAAAAACTAAAAATAGAACTCCCCTATGACCCAGCAATTGCCCTACTAGGCATTTATCCAAGGGATATAGGTGTGCTGTTTCAAAGGGACACATGCACCCCCATGTTTATAGCAGCACTATCCACAATAGCCAAAGTACGGAAAGAGCCCAAATGTCCATCGATGGATGAATGCATAAAGAAAATGTGGTATATATATACAATGGAGTATTACTTGGCAATTAGAAAGAATGCAATCTTGCCATTTGCAACTACGTGGATGGAACTGGAGGGTATTATGCTAAGTGAAATTAGAGAAAGACAAACATCATATGACTTCACTCATATGAGGACTTTAAGAGACAAAACAGATGAACATAAGGGAAGGGAAACAAAAATAATATAAAAACAGGGAGGGGGACAAAACAGAAGAGACTCACAAATATGGAGAACAAACTGAGGGTTACTGGAGAGGTTGTGGGAGGGGGGATGGGCTAAATGGGTAAGGGGCACTAAGGAATCTACTCCTGAAATCATTGTTGTACTATATGCTAACTAATTTGGATGTAAATTTAAAAAAATAAAAAATAAAACAAGTTAAAAAAAAAAAAAAGCAGAAAGGCCAGTTTCTTGCCCAGATGACCTTACATTCTCATTGTTCTAGAAGACGGCAAAGCAAATAATGATCTGACTGTGAGTAGATAAACAGTGAGCATACAAAACATAAGAATGGCCTGATTGGTCCAGAAAGACAATACAAACGGAGGACAATTCCTCCACTAATAACAGGTTATAATCTCAAAAAGGAAAAAGAAACGCTTTTCCATTCTCCGTTTACAAAAGTAAACACTTCCATTTAAAAAAAAAAATGAAGGGCGCCTGGGTGGCGCAGTCGGTTAAGCGTCCGACTTCAGCCAGGTCACGATCTCGCGGTCCGTGAGTTCGAGCCCCGCGTCAGGCTCTGGGCTGATGGCTCAGAGCCTGGAGCCTGTTTCCGATTCTGTGTCTCCCTCTCTCTCTGCCCCTCCCCCATTCATGCTCTGTCTCTCTCTGTCCCAAAAATAAATAAACGTTGAAAAAAAAAAAAAATGAACAAGTCCATAAAGTGTAAGGAGGGAACTAAGGCTCACCAGTAACCCATCACCCGGCAAAAGCATTCTGTGGACCTTCTGTCCTTCCAGACCATTTTCAATAACGACACCTTTGTGGACCTGCTTTTGTTTAACAAGAAGTTTCACTATACAGATACTGTCTTATCTGTTTTTTTTCATTTCACAATATACTGTGATTAAGTCCTATCCTGAACTGTGTCTATAAATTGATCGAAAGTAAACAATTTCTTTTTTTTTTTTTAATTTTTTTTTCAACGTTTATTTATTTTTGGGACAGAGAGAGACAGAGCATGAACGGGGGAGGGGCAGAGAGAGAGGGAGACACAGAATCGGAAACAGGCTCCAGGCTCCGAGCCATCAGCCCAGAGCCTGACGCGGGGCTCGAACTCACGGACCGCGAGATCGTGACCTGGCTGAAGTCGGACGCTCAACTGACTGCGCCACCCAGGCGCCCCAAAAGTAAACAATTTCTAACTGAGGTCAACATACTTTTCGGTAGGAAAAAAAAAAAATTCAATAATAGAATTTACTTTTCTGGGCCTTCTTCACCAAAGCTTAATTAATTATCCCATAATTCCTGAAGAAACCTAGAAGCAAAATCCTAAAACTGACAAAGGACTTTAATGGTAATTGAGTCCAAAGTCCTCCTTCTCTAGATGAGAAAACAGAGTCCTAGCTGTCATTTAACACTGTTTCACTCTTGGGATGCCAAGAATATGTTTCCTCCATTACATACATGGGTTTTTTTATTTTTTTATGTTTTTATTTATTTTTGAGACAGAGAGAGACAGAACATGAGCAGGGGTGGGGCAGAGAGAGAGGAAGACACAGAATCCAAAGCAGGCTCCAGGCTCTGAGCTGTCAGCACAGAGCCCGACGAGGGGCTTGAACTCACGGAGTGTGAGATCATGACCTGAGCTGAAGTCGGACGCTCAACCGACTGAGCCACCCAGGCGCCCCACATACATGTTTATACATCCAACTGCTCTCCCTCAAAGGACTGGACAGAGGGGGGACTTCGGTTCCCCAGTATCCAGAACCCTCATGGTGGTACTCAGTCCAGTCTGGCTCCACTGCCCCCTCGACTGAGTCTGTTGGTCAAAGTCAACAAAAATTGTCATGCTACCAGATTCGGTGGACACATACCTGTCATTTCCTAATGGGCTACACTGAGCACTAATACTATTTGTGTTCTTTATTCCCTTCAATAAGCCTATGAGGTTTATTATCCCTATTACTCATTCTTTATCCCCCCTATCAATATCCTCATTTTTCAGATTAGGAAACTGAGTCACAGAGGATAAATAGCTAATATGTAGAGGAGCCAGGACTTTCAACTCTGGCCCAATTTCCGAGCTTATGCTGTCAACCACAAGGCCAGCCGCCTCTCCAGTCTCTTGGAGGAGAAC